TGTATTACTTAGTGTATCATATACTTAGGCTATAATTAAAGTATATATTATCTCTACTATAATATATTGAGGCTAATTTGATAATAATAGAACGATAATCAACGTGGTGTAATCTAAAAAATATTTGTAAATGCATTGTAATTACCAAATCATTATGATATATTAAATAATACTAATATCATGCATAATTAGGCTAATTAATTTCTCTATAATTTAATATATTTATAATAATATCACGTGTATCTAATTAATTATATGTGATTTATATATTACTTATATTAATTATATATTTACGATATTGATTTAGACGAAGATAGTATCACATCATTAAAAAAGCTATATATAGATCTCTAACTTATAATTTGCCTGAATTAATTTTTTTAGGCACCGCAAAGTTAAATATTAGAGTTAAATTTGCCTTAACTTTGAATTTTAAAGTAAAATTTAGATATAAAATACTTGAAAGTTTGAAAGTGGTTTACATTTAGAATTTGCCTTATATTTCGGTTTTAGGAGTGTAGAAGTAGTTAATTTAGTAATTTGTAAATTTTTAATTTAGATTGTGAAATTGGACTTTTAAAGTGAAATTTAGCTATAAAATACTTGAAAGTTAGAAAGTGTGTTACATTTAGAATTTGCCTTAATTTTCGGTTTTAGGAGTATAGAAGTACTTAATTTAGTAATTAGTGGTGGAGTATTAACTCCTAGAGAGAAGTGCTATAAATGCGTGATATTAATGATTTGTGAACTCCCTACAACTACTCCCAAGGGGAGTATTTATAGAGGAAATTAGGGCTACAATTGGGCCACTATTGGGCTGAGTACAAAATATATAAAAGTAATTAAGTGTGAAACCCGGTTCTGGGAGCCCTTTGTGGCCGACGGAGCCATGGCCGACGGAGCCATGGCCGACGAAGACCCGGCCGACGGGGACACCCAGTTCTCATGGCTTCTGGACCATGTTCTGAGCTGATATCTTTTTGGCCGATGGTGGGCCATCTGGCCGACGGAAGCCCCACTGGGTGACAGTTGTGCCTCTTATTCTTCTGAGTATGTGGGTCCTGGGGTCCAGGCCCATATACTCCATTAGGAGTCCCCCACTCTCTGAGCTGAAACGTAGACGAAGTGAGGGAGAGTAGATTCCATAGTCTTGATGTCTTCTGGCCATTATGGCCGTTGTGGCCATTTCCCGTTTTGGTTCTTCGTGTTGGCCGTTGTATGCCCTTCACTGTGGACGAAGAAGGCTGATGTTCCTCTGATAGGGTGAGTTTGTCTATTTGAGGACGATGAGTGTACTGGCTCAATGGCCGATATGTGCTCTTGGTCTGATGCGGGTGATGTTTCTTTCTGGTCGTTGGCGGTTGCTTTTGGTGTCTTGGCCAAGGAGGCCTCATGTGACACCGCACCCGAACGTCCTGGAAATTCAAAGTTAATTTCAAAGCTTATGTATTGAATTTCCCTATTTTCAAACAATTGTAAAACGATTAAAGTTTTACGGAACGTATGATTTATCATATTACTATTTGGGCTCATATAATGGTAATGGACTTCTAAATAATTAATTGGGCCATATTATTGATATTGGGGCCCAACATCCTTAAATAAAGATATACAACCCCTCGGTACAATGTAAGAGCGGTCGGGCAGCCCAAATTATATTTTGGGCCTAACCGGCTAAAAATAGTAGTTATTCAAGAATGGCGTCCTAGACCCATTGGAGGGTGACTCACACGGTTGGTAGCCCAGATATATAAATATTAATATCTTAAATGAATGATGGAATGATTGGAGAAGAATGCAAATGCCTATGGTCCCATCTTTGGCATTATTAGGCTAAATAATGGGAGTAGGGCTTTCTTTTGTAATTATACATCAAATAAATTATTGGGACCACCCTACACATATTAGAGATCAATAATATGATGTAGAAGGTTGACTTGATCTAAATAAATTGGGTAGAGTACAAAAGTACATTCTATGACAAAAGACAAAAAATGATAGGACCCACCTTTCCACTTTTAGATGTATTGGTAGATATTTTGCTCCCAAATTAATTAGGGCACATGATAGTACGCCCCACACCTTCCTAGCACCTGCAAAACAGGTAGAATAAGTTAGAGCACATAAATGGGGCGGACCTATGGAGTTGAGAGCTCAAACAATACAAAAAGAAATAAAAGAGGAGGATTATCCCATGTTTGATTGGAATCAAACACCCTACCTATTACTTTTGTGAACCACATGTTACGATAACCTTTTGAGATCTCCTAAACACCTCCCCTCACCCCCATTTGAACTCAAAGGATAAGGAGGAAGGGAGAGCCGCACAAGCCTGAGAATAGAGAGAGGGAGAAGATTCTGGCCGCAGGGAGAACTTCCAGTGTGTTGGCCTTCTTGTGAGACTCATATCTCGAGTTCTACGCATCCAAAAAGGGCGTGGGAGGTTTCCACTGAAATCTATCGAAAAGAGGAATCCATAGGGATGAGGTTTGAAGAAAACGGAGCAGATTAAGGCCTCCAAATCATCCGAACAGAACGCAACCTCGCAGAATACGTTTTTGGTATTCAAAGTAAGTTCGAATCCAAAACCTTCCTTTCTATTGCCTAAATCCTATGAATGATTGAAGAACTATTATAAACTGGTTTAAGTGTATAAAATTTTGTTATAGAGTAACTTTAATTTTTGGAAAGGTTATACACTAACCTAGACAAAACCTTGAAAGGTTAGGGAACGAATTCGCCGAAAACACCCATTCTAGGGGCTGTTTTCGTGTCTTCGGTTAGGAGTTGAGCAAGCACCTTGAGGAGGCTGTCTAACACCCATTTATAAGAAATGAATCAATTCTCAAACCCCCTTGGCCGAAGCTTGAGCACTGGCTTGAGAAGGAACAATTTAAAGCTCATTTGAGGTGAGGATCGACATCTAGTTGCTTACAACTTGTAGGTTAAGCATGAGATTACCTAAATGCCTAAATCATGTTTTTCATGGATTATAATGACTGATTATTGATGAAATATTGATATACTAGATAAGGAATGAAATTGAAAATGATTGGAAATCATATTGATAAAGATGGAGTTAAATGAACTATTGTGTGAAATAGGCATTTTTACTCATGTGTGAATTGTGTAGATACATAAATGATTATTTATGTATTACATTGAATGATTAAGTTTCTGCTACATATCTCTAACTATGTAGGAATTTACAAATGGAATGTATGATGGATAAGAATAATCTTAATAGTATTGAAATACTAGTTAATGATTGTTATAATTGTTAAGAAATTGAATCTAAGGATTTGATTGTAATTGATGTACTTGATTGTGATGCAAGTGACTAAATTGATGTGATATGATGTAAGATCATGATGAGGCAGTTCGTAGTTTGGTGTCCATCTTCGAGGACGATAGTGTTACTGATCCAGAAGAAGTTGTGTGCACTCTGATCTCATGGACAACAGTGTTACTGTCCATCTTTGAGGACGTTGGGTTCCTGTTTTTGTTTCTTGGCCGAGAGTGGAGTGTGTGATCTCAAAGCCGTTGAGTGACGCGCGTCCAGGGACGATACGCGTCACATTTTGGGATGAGTTATAGTTCTTTGTTTGCTGACTTTGTTGCGGCTGAAGGTGCACCACAAGGTCATGGGCGTTATGGTGCATATATGACCTAATTTTGTAGTTGTGGACTTGGTGTATTTTTGGATTTTTTGATTTTGTCCTCTCTTGTATTCCAGAGGCCTGTGTAGTTCCCCAGTCCCCCACTGCTATTTGTTTGCATCCTCAAAGGTTCATTCAAGTTGGGAAAGTTTAGCCAAACGGAAATTAATTCTGCATTTTATTAGTTACTGTTTGTGGCTGTTTTTTCCCATCAAAGACATCTTAGGATTTAGGGGATTGGTATCAGGGGCGGAGCCAGGATTTCATTGGAGGGGGGCCAGGCCTGAACGAAAATGTATAAATACATAAACATATTCTTTTAAATCTAGTGATTAATTTGAAATATTTGAGACTTTGTAGGACAACTAAAACAAAATAATGTATCAACATCTTAAGATATATTATAGTGGGATGTTTAATTTTTGAAAATTATTCTTTTACCACATCTGTGGATAATGCTTAGTAAAAGAAAATAAATACTAGAAAATGATTTTTTTCGTTTGTTTTTGCATCACATATATCAAAGGGAATTAAATATATATGATTTATATTATTGAATTGATTTGCATACTTAATTACATTACTCTTTAAAGTTAGGTTTGATAAAATTTATTGCATGCTCCCACATATTTATACTTCCATACCATTTTCCCCAATACTTTTCAAGCTCAAAAAAGTCTTATTAAATGAATAGTTTTGATCTAAATAAAATTAACAAAATGTCAAAATGAAAAATTTAAGATTATACATCTATCAATCATAATTAGTACCATGATATGTTTCACTTTAAAATAGAATACTATAATAAATATATTAACATTTACTTGCTCATATAAAAAAATTACTAAAAAAATATATTCAATATTATACTTCGCATAACTAATTTATACTTAAAAATTGAAAAGTTGGGGGGAGGAGGAGGGATTGGGATCCTCTGCCGCACGGCAGAGTACCTTGCGCAATCCAACGGGCAACAACAATAAGGGAGGAAAGTTTGGCTTTAGGGAAGAGAGAATTTGAGGAGGGGAAGCTTGGATCCTGCGGTTGTAATTGGCCAGGCACCCTACCTGCCTGCAAAGCCAGGCAGAGAAGCTTGATCCGAGGAGGAGGGTAGTTCTGCTCCTGATTGATATAAGGAAGGCAAGTTTTCTACATGAGGTGAGGAGGCTTAAATTTGCGTGTTTAAGTAATTAGCGAGTCGTGTTGCTCCTTATAGAGTGATTGACACTTTATATAATCCTACGATCGATGTTCAATTCATGAGTTTCAATCTAGTTGTATGCTTCCATCTTAGTATTATTTTGAAATATGCTTTGTTAATGGTAGTATTAACTCCAAAGCTAGCAAATTTGGGAGTCTAGAAAATGTATTGTGAAGCTGGGAACAGTCCGTTCTAACAAAATAGAATTGTACATGGCTACTTGTGATTTTATTTGCGGAAATACACCCCAATAGAATAGTTTCAAATCACAAAAATAATGGAAGAAAATTATACTCCCTCCGTCCCCCAATTAAGTTTCCGGTTTGACTTCACACATATTAGGAAAATAAATTTAACTTTACTGTGGAGTTCACTGTTTTGCACAGTTTTGCATTGTTTGGACACTGTTTTGCACTGTTTGGACATTATTTTGCACTGTTTGACACTGTTTTGATGTAGATAATTTGCCAAAAAAGGAAAGTAAGAAAGTGTGAACTTAATTTAGGAACTATCCAAAAAGAAAATTGGTAACTTAATTGCGGGATGGAGGGAGTATTATGGAATATTACACGAGCATTTTAATATCATTGGCTATGTTTTGGGAATCAAAACAAATCCCATACAATCCTCTCCTAGCCAGCCCGACGCAATAGAGCCCATTCTTCCCCTTCCAGTGCATCGGAAATTCTTGCTTGGGAAGTCCGTCGTCATTTAACAAATATTCATCACCCTATAATTTAATACATGTATTTTGTAAAGTTAAATTGGAATTCGATCAATATATAATTTACACATGGGAAAGTTTTAACTTTATTTGTTCTTCATATCGGAATGTACCTCATGCCTTTAATGTTTGTAAATGTGGTCCCTTAAATGTAGGGAAAATGGTCAAATAAGGTCATCTTCTATTATGAAAACGTCACATAAGGTCATGTACTCAATAAATGTCATATATATATACGTCTACTTATAAAAAACAAGCGAATGAGACCTAATGGCCTATTGACAACCTCTTAATCCCGATTTTAACGTGTTTTTGACTATCTTTTTAAAATATATTATAAGGCTAACGTGAAATATTTAGCTTAGTTTGGTTGAAACACAAGACAAAAAATAATGACACCTAAGTTAAAATCGAGATTAAGAGATTGTCAACGTGTCGTTAGGACTCATCTGTTTACATTTTATAAATAGACATATTTATATGACACTTTATTGAATAGATGACCTTATGTGACGACTTTTTAATAGTAAAAGACCTTATTTGACCCTTTTCTCTTAAATGTACGACGTAAAGTCACTCGTTGTATATTATTAATGACAAGCAATATTTACAACAACGGAGTATTGTGCAATTGGGGACGATATTTGAAACGTATTACACAACAAAGGAACAGTATTGTCACACATTTTTAACAGCAAAAATGACAATGCAAGGATTACATTTAAATTTTATTTCAAAATTATGAGACAATATTTACAAAAAAAGAAAAAAGAAACGTAGATTTCATTATGAGTGACACATGAAGAACTAATAAAGGTGTGCTTTCTCATTCAATAATGTGATGTTCTTATTTTTTTGCTGGACTTTATAGTTTATTATTCTCCGTAGTATTTATCATCAATATTAAATCTTAACAAGATATTTAATAGTATCAATGAATCACAAGATATTTAAGGTGAGATTCTTATTTAATAGTCCCAATACAATTTGCAAGAAGGGCGTATTTATATACTGAGGTCATATACGGATCATAATACATGTTGTTAATAATGATTTCTCTTTCATTTCTAAGTGATATCATTTTAACATTTCATTTTCCTAACAGTTATACCATTTCAACAATAAATAAATATAATACCTGCTCTCTTTAATTCGACTTTAAGAGGGTAACTTGTAATTTTAGTCCCGTAACAATCTTCTGCTTCAATATTAGTCCTGTAATTTTAATCACTAACAAATTTTGTCCCTTAACTAATAAATCTTACAATTTAAGAACGTCCCCACCAAAAAGTACACTTCCCGTGAAAAATAAATCGGGAAAGACGCTGTTAGCATCTGATTCTCTATCAAAAATTGTACTTTCTGGTGATAAAGTTATTAAACTACAAAGATTTGCTAGTTACAGATTCAAATTTGCAAACGAGTAAAGTTAAAGGATTAATAGCGTTAACGGCCGAAAGTTACATAACTAAATTGAAAATATCTTTTTAAATAATCTTACATCATACGGAGTACTATCTTAATCTCGAAAAGAAGTTCTCAGTTTCTTGTTTGGATGGCTTAGTATAAAGTTCTCAATTATACTCCCTACGTCCCTATATAAAAGTATCCATTCATTTTACACACATATTAAGAAAGTGGGTTTGATTGGTACTGTTTGACACTGTTTGGACACTGTTTGGACATTGTTTGGCACTGTTTTGCACTGTTTTGCACTGTTTTGTTTGCCAAAAAAGGAAAGAGAACTTTTATTTAGGGACGGTCAGAAAAGGAAACAGATGTTTTTTTTAATGACGGAGGGAGTATAAAAATACGGAGGAGTATATTTAGAATGTGAGAACGAAATAATCTTACATACTCCGTAAATATGTGAGTCAGCCGTATGTAGGAACTTCTTTAGAGACAGAGGATGTACTAGATCTAGAACCGGTACCAAAACTATTTAGACTAAATCTTACGGAATACTACTCGGTTCCAGAAAATTTTTCCCAGTTTGACTTGACACGGATATTAAGAAAGTGGAATAAAGTGAAAATGTATGGTTATAGTTGTGTAAGAAAAATGTAAAATGAATGTGAATCACACAAATTGTCCAAAAATGGTAAGTGAGAAAATTTTTGGGACGATCCAAAAAGAAAAGTAAGCAGAATTGTATGAGACGAGGGAATATAAGATTTGGCCCCTGCAATTACTTAATACTTCAAAATTTGAACATGATTGATTAGATTATTTCAAACTACATCACACTTAATCGAACTAGGCTAAAAATAAAGCCTAATGAGACCAAATTGAGATGAGATTAAACAAGTAACATTTGGTCTATCAGAGTAGATCCTATTGCTTAGGATGTTTTCTTTTGGAATGTTTTCAGTCCCAAATCAGACCAGATCAGATTAACGGCTCAAATAAGACCAGATTTACATAGTTATAAAATACACAAAAATCTGACATTTATCAGACCAGACCAGAGTAGACCAGATCATATTAGACCAGAAAATTTCAGTCTGGAAGCAAAAATTAATTAAAATGATGGTGCAATTATTTAATTATAGAGAAAAAAACCTGAAGCCATTTGGCGGTGGATCTCTTGAAGCCGGTAGCGAAAAGAATAGCGTCAAATGGATAGGAGGTGCCGTTCTCAAATTCGACATCACTGCCGTCCATTTTTACCATCGCTGGCAACACCTGTCACCATGTAACATCGAGTCAAATAATTAATCAGGCGCACACAGTCACACACACGCTAGCTAGCTCTGTGCTTCCTTAATTACAACGATAATTAATTATGGTAATTGAAAAAAAGCAAAAAAAGAAATTTTACCAACTCAACTGAAACATAAATTCAGAATCTGAACCGGTGAGCGTAGCTCGACCGATAGACAGGGAGTGCCACAAGTGTTATGTTCCAGATACGAATCCCGGTAACTGCGATGAGGGATTACTATGCTGAAAGTGCATAGGGCCTCTGCAAGTACCGGGAACAAAGTCTCACTCTCTATTTGTCAGATTGTGATTATAATCTAACTTATATACATCCTCCCAACCTACCATCCGGTCAGGATTAGGACCCTCAGGGATGAGGTGTATCCTTTTTTTTAATTCTGAATCTCAAAGAAATAAAGACATTATTTGGTAAATGTCTTATCAACCATATTTTGGCTCATATGACCCCCATTTACATAATCCAGGTGTCGGGACTTACGTTCCCATAATCTTGGAGTCTATGAACTACCCTCCAAAGTCCCTAGACAGTTAAGTCCGGATCTGATCACAGTCAGTCCTGTCAGTACTGGCTCCAAAGGACAAATCCAGCAGGACTTACATCACCTTTCAGGCTGCTCCTCCCACCACACGAACCCGCTACCTTCATTACCATCCTCTCCCTTCTCAGCCGCTGAGCAACTCCGTGAAGGTAGGGAGAATCATTGGGAGCAAGACCTCCCTCATCTCGTTTGGTGGGAATTGAACCCAAGACCTCACACAAAGAAGAGACTTGAGGGTGGATGGTAATTTATACTATGATTTTCTATCCTTTTTCTTGCTCATGTAGTCCCAACATGATTTTAAATGTCATTATTATACTCCGTATTGTTTTCTTTTTTCTTTACTCTTTTCTCTTGTTCAAGCCATTCTATATTATTTTCTTTTTCTTTTCATAGTTAGGTTAATTTATACATGAAGCAAATTAAGCTAAGCTAATTTATATTATTATGAATTTATTTTAAATTATTTTCAATATTTTAAAATCATAACAAGTATGACTAATTAATAAATAATTAAACTATGCTATTATAAATATACCATATATCATGTCAAATTTTATTCAGAAACTACTACTGGCTAAAAGTAAATAAAAAAGTACCAAACATGGTAGGTCAAAGTGTGTCGATAATGAGTTGGAATGATTGAAACTATCAACGAGACCTAAAATACCATAGATATTGATTTATTTAATTTTATCTTGATTCCATTATTGCTATATTTTGATGATCTTTTGTGCAAAACAGTTGATCAAATTACATAAATTCCATGAAGTTTCAATGAATTCGAACTAGAGACATACTACCTCCGTCCCGCAAAGAAGTTCCCACTTTTCTTTTATGGATGTCCCAAAAAGAAATTCTCATTTCAATAAAAGGAAACCACTTTTAACCAAAAAGTCACAAATACCCTTACTTTTTACCTACTTTTTGTTTGATTTGACATAAGTAAGGGTATATTTGGAAAGTCAAAACAAAACTCTACCTTACATAAATATGTGTAGGTCAAACTAGGAACTTTTTTGCGGGTAGAACTCTTTGTCCATGAGTTCAATCTAGTTCAACAAGCTAGTTTAATTCATTTCTTATGAGAACTAGAGCAATTATAATGAATTGAAAATTATCCTCGAATTTAAGCTCTTTGACCAACATATGACATCAATAAGTAGCCACATCTTAAGATGAATGTCGATATATGTTAAAACTTAAAAGCAATCTTTATTATGATAATACCAACTACAAGTTATATACTATACATTGGTTTCTTATTTTGATTACTTAACTATAGCATTCGATTCCTATACTGTGTTATGGGGAACTTAACTCGTTTAATACTTCCCCGTTCCATAAAAGTTGCAACATTGAAATTTCTACACTATTCACACACCTACTTTGACTACGATTTTCTAATAATATATATAATAAAAATATTATGTATAAAATATTAATAAATTTGTATTAGTTTAAATTTCCAATATATTAACTTTTTTAATGTTTGCTAATACGTAAATAAATATAATTACAGTCAAAGTTGCGCTTTGGCAAACGTGAAAGTCAAACTGTTACAACTTTTATGGAACGAATGATATTATATAGAACTTCTATAAATTTTACACGCATACTTCATACTCCATGAGCCCGATTATAAACTAATTTTCTCTAATTGAACTGCCAAAGAAAATTAGATGATCTTTTCAATATTTAATTAAATAAAATAAATTCAAAAAACCCAACTTTTGATTTATTTAATCTTCTCAAGGAGCTAGCTACAAATAAAAATTTCAGACTTACACTACAAAAAAATTATGGGTTTGACACGGTATTTGACACTGACTTACCGATTTTTCGTGCTAAGTAGCTCGTGCCAAAGTGTTTTTGGCACGGATTTGACATTGGGAGATTTACCTTAATAGTAGTACCAAAACATGGCTTTTTTCTCAAAATAGGACCAATTAGTTTAAACTTTCTTAAATAGGACTTTTTATGTGTGATTGGACAAAAATACCCCCACTGCTGCCCATGGACTGCTGCCAGCCGCCGCCACCGGAGCACTTCCGGAAAATTCCAAAAAATATTTGGCAGACTGCCAGATTCAGCCGCTGCCGCAACACGCCGCCGCCGCCGGAAAAATTCAAAAAAATATCCGGCAGACAGCCAGATTTTGCCGCTGCCGGAGTTCTCCGTCACCGCAATGGTGTTTATCAGAATTTATTGTTTATTTATTGTCTACTTATTGTCTATTTATTGTCTATTTAAAGTCTGTTATTTTCTTGCCGCCGCCGGAAAACACCGCCACTGCCGCTAAGCTGCCACCACCACTGTCGCCACCACCGTACTGCCCCGTCACCGACAGACTGCCTTGGTTGTGCAAGAAAACTAGGGGGCAATTATTTAGGTCAATTTAATAATCCGCCGCACCGCCGGAATCCGCCACCACTGCCGCCGAGCTGCCGCCACCACTGCCGCCGTACTGCCGTCACCACTGGATTGCCCCGCCACAGACGGACTGCCTTGGTTGTGCAAGAAAACTAGGGAGCAATTTATTGAGTTAATTAGTTAATTAATTCAATTTGGGGTAAAAATGGAATGGTTAATCCTATTTAGGGAAAACCAAACATTGGGTCCTATTTTGGGAAAAAGCCTATATTTTTGTCTTAGTCATGACAATTTTCTCTTTGGCATTTCACTGTCAAAATCTTTGTCAATCTCATAGTTTTTTAGTAGTGTTAGTGAGTTGGTGGTAATAATAAATCATTTATTTAATCACATTAAGAATACACTATAGTATCCGCAATCAATGCAATACATCCATATGAGGTTTCCCTCAATAAACATATTAGATAGACAAGTAGCGTATATAATATGTTACGGAGTATATGTCAGTTTATTATTTATATTTCGTAGATATGATTAAACACTTCGACAGTACACGTTTATAAGTTATACACGTAATAATAAAAATAATAACAAAATTAAAGATAACAATAAGAAACATCAATGATAACAATATAAAAAATAATGACACTTATGATGATGATGTTAATAATAACAATAATAGTAATAATAATTGATGATAATGATATTAATAATATAATAACATTAATAATATGACCTTATTTAAAACTTTCCAAAAAAATGATATATCTAAGGTTCTTAGTTATTCGTAAACATTGACCGATCATATTTTTGTCCAGAAAAACTTTATTAATAATATAGATGTCAATTTTTCATAATAATACGACTAATTAGTAAGAACAACAACGTAATACCTTAATCTCGCCGGACTTAACCTTGGCGTGGGTCCCGACGTCGAAAACGGGATATTTGCCGTTCTTGACTTTGTTCGTAAACGGACCGTCCTTGGGCTTCTTAACCCCATAGTATTTAGTTATGTCTCCAAAAACAAATTTGCTGAGCGGCTCCAGGACTGAGTCAACAAGCCAATAAGGCAGACCGTACTTCAACATTGTAAGAGCCAAGTCTCCCATTCCTCTAGTTATAAGGTGAAACTACATGCACGTATAGTACAATAATAATGAATATAATACACAAATAATGAGTCATATATGAAGATGGATATAGTCATTATGACGATATAGGGGGTGTTTGGATCTGATTCTCAAAACTGATTCTGCTCCTTCAGGGAGCAGAAGCAGAAGCAGAAGTTGGAGTGTTTGGGTGAAATTCCAGAAGCACTTCTGGTGCTCTAATTTACTCTCAGAATCAGTTTTTTTAGAAGCTGGGGGTACCAGCTTCTGAAAATTGATTCTGATTCTGCTTTTACTTTAAAAAAGAAGCAGAATCAGAATCAGTTCCAAACACCCCCATAGTCATACTCGTTAGTGTATACAACAATAACATTCAAGTCTTATTAGTCACATTTTTTCTGAATCGGCTAATATGAATCGATGATATCTCGATAGCGTACGCAGAGAAAATTTTAACGTCCGACTTGTATACATACTTTTCCTAATAATTTTTATGCATAAAACAGGCATTTTTTAAATTTGTATGATCAGACAAGCTCAATTGGGATCCCTTAGCTATACCCATGCTTATACACACATTTTGTATAAATATAATTTCAGTGCTATTTCGTACGTAATATTTTAATTTGTCACTGTGCGTATTGTTTATGCTTTTATTAGCTTTTCACGTCATGACATGTATGTTTGAGAATATATAGTTGTATACTTGTATATTTGTAAGAGAAATATCTTTAATAACATATCTGGTATTTACTACTACCTCCGTGCAATTTTATGTTCTTTAATAAAATAAATCGCTATAAACCACATATTTCTTTCCAAAAAATAAAATGTGATACTTCTTGTACACATTTGAAGATAATATTGCGACGGAGAGAGTACACAAATGTATGACAAAATTTTAAATACAAATTTTATTTGTACGGACTCTACTTCTGGCCATCTACGTATACAGTTAAAACAGATACTCCCGGGCCTCCGTCCCATATTTATCTCCTAAAGTGTAACCAACACGAGATTAAAATAGTGAGTATTGTGTGTTGGAGAGTTGTGGAAAGAAAAGAGAAATATGTAAGAAATATCATGAACTGTAAATTCTTTGCCAAAAAAAGAAAAGAGAATATAATTGTTGGAGGAACAAAAAAGGAACATTTGAAGATAATATTGCGACAGAGAGAGTAACTACTTATATTTGTAAACTAGTATAGACCATACATCTATATTTTACTTCTATTTTGATCCATGCATTTGTTTAAAGTTAACAAATTAAAACAGCCTTTCATCTCCAAATTAGGCAAGTAAACATAATAATTGAAGGTGTATGGTTTGAATGGGTTGTCTCACACACTGTGATCATTCTGAGCATGCGTCTGTGTGACTGTGTTTGTGGGTCAACATATTTAAGTCATGAGATAGTCCGTAATAATAATACTCGATTTGCAAAATTTCGTATTTTAGTTGTCCCAAAATGATTTTCCACTTTCTATTTTAGGTATGTAAATAAAAATAAGTGTCAAATTTGTTCTTACTTTTACTTTTTCCCCATTAACTCAAAAGCATCTACATTTAGAAAGATGGACAAAAATGTAAAAAACAAGCATCATTTATTGTCGTTCATTAATCTTTGTGTCGGTCAAAATTTACGATTCAAATTAGGACGGACGGAGTAATACTAGTAGTAAACGTATGAGTATTTTATTATTTCCGTAATACGGAATACGGAGTAATAAAAACCCCGGCTAATTTTGAGGCATTACCGTACGTATGAAATCATAATTATTGAACTGGTTAGAAAAGCTCTTACTATTAATTTCAGGATGGAAGTCAACTCAGAATAGCATGATTATTATACGTAGTATTACCTAGTACTACTTCCGTTAAATATACATTATTATTCATGCATAATAATAAATGCAACACGTGAAATTTTCATTATTTACATGTTTTATTTTGATTACGTTTTATTTATTAATATATTAATAATTTTTTAAAAGAAATATAATTACATTTGTTTGATTGTAAATTTTCAAAATTTGATTTTTTTAAATTCTTTACTAATAGAGAAATATAATGGTCAAAGTTGTGCAATGACAAATGTGCAAAGTTAACCGTTGCATTTATTTAAGAACGGAGGAAGCATGTGGGGAAATTAGAAAGAAATTTTCCAATAAAAATGTGATTTTCCATAATTGAAGTATAATGTTTTCTCTAAATTAGTAATCACTTCCTTCGTCCCAATTTAAAAGGTCTAGTTTGACTTTCACACAATATAAGAAAGTGACACTGTTTGACACTATTTATACATCATTTTACACTTTTTGACAATTTTTCACATTGTTTTGTTTACTAAATAATGAAATGGGACATTTTTAAGGGATCAACCGAAAAAAATGGGATATTTATTTTGCATATTACTAAGAACTTGAGAAATTATGTCCAATTATGACATTGATGATGCCAATAACAATAGGCTCTTATAATGTTTTTAATTTGAATGAATTTTTTAAGGTAGATTCTATGGTACCCATAAGGTACCATACCTTTGTTTACATGGACCAATAGAATGTAGCAGTTGAATTATTTAAATCTAAATTAAAAATGATAAAGTAATGTGGTCTAATCAAATGAATGATAGATACGGTACCCCATTTTTTAGAAAAGTATCGGAGTTGTCACCTTTTTTAATCTGATCTAGTCTAATTTATTCAGGTCTAGTCCAGTCAAGTCAGAACTAAAGTAAGTCCACATAAAAAAATTTTGTTTTTTGGAAAATTTCTCAACATTAAATCCTTATTTATAATGCCTCTTGATAAAAAAAACAAGGGGTGGGATAATTACCGGGCTCCGTACAACTATGGAGGTCTTTGCCCCATAGTTGGAAAGATCAAGAGCAATCTCCATGCCGGAATTCCCACATCCGACCACCAAAACTCTTTTATTCCTATACTTCTCGCCATTCTTATACTGGGTCGAGTGGATGATTTCTCCGGCGAATCTCTCAACCCCCGTCACCTCAGGAATATAAGGAACGCTCGATTCTCCGGTGGCCACCACAAGAAACTTGCCGGAATATTCCTCCACCTCCCTAGAGTCTGTCACTCCGGCCTTCACGTTCCACTTCCCGGCAACCTCATCGTACGTCGCCGACTCCACCGCCCTTTTGCAGCGAGGGGTGATTTTGAAGTGGGAGGCATATTCGTCCAAGTAGTTAACGAACTCTTTCCTCGGAACGTACGTCGGAGTTGTCGCCGGGAAACTGAAGTTCGGCAACTCGCAGAAATGCTTGGCCAGGTGGAGGTGGAGGCGGTCGTATGAGTACTTCTTCCAAATGGAGGCGTGGCAGTCCTCTTTTTCGAGGAGGATGTAAGGGATGGAGAGCTTGTACAGGCAGGCGGCGGTGGCGAGACCTGCCGGACCGGCGCCGACAATGATCACCACTGTTTCTTCATTATTTGCCATTCTATTTTATTTAATTTTATTTCATGTGCGAGAGAGAACCTAGAAAATAAAAGAAGCTGGACAGAGTATATGATGAAAGTGAGAGCTAACTTGTTTGAACCTACGAGTACTCCGTATTTGTTTATATTTTTCTTCTTTGAATAATCAAAACATAATCAATTGGGTAGTTGTGACGACCGAGTCTTGTGGTGGCGGTTTATTAGAATTTACGATGACAATTTTCTATTTTAGTCAGCTCATTATTGCGTCAAGCCGTTACTTCAAGTCCACACGTTTTAATGAGTTTTAATGAACAAGTTGATGAATAAATACTCCATCCCTCCCTTTTTATTTCGCTAAACACCCTTTTTTTTTAGTCAAAGTTGTTCAATTTTGACTGCTTATATATTTATTAAAGAATGGCCAAAATATTACATATGAACTTTGAATGGACAAAAATATGACCATTGTTCACATGGACAAAAATGTTACTTCTTCTTTTAAAACCCAGGCTCAATCCATCGCACGAGCTTCTCTGCGCCTAACTTCTCTATGCCTAACTTCCTCGTACAAGCTTCGATCTTCTCTGGATCTTCTCTGCGCTTTACTTCATCGCCCAAGCACGCTTCATCGTCCTAATAGCGTCAAACTCAGGCGACCTCCTCTGAGCAGCAGATCGTCTCCGCTATCCTCTCACAAGTCTTCGCTGTCGTCGCCCTTCGCGTATAGAGGAACGAATCATCTCCGCCGTCCTCACCCTCGCCTTCCGATCTTCTTCTCTTTCCTCTCTTTCTGTTGGTGGTGTTAAACTTCGCTAGATCTAGCGCCGATCTAACGACGACGATTGTGAAGGAGATAGATCTCTTTGTGGAAGCGGCGGGTAGGGTTCGGCGATGCGGCGGCGGTGGCTAGGGTTTGAAGATTAGGCGCCGAGGGGGAAATGGTGCCAGGTCGGGGCTAGATCGGGGTTGGGAAGGGGTGAATCGAGGGTTGGTCGGGTTGGTCGGAGCTGGAGCATGGTAGGGTTGTTGAGGCGGGTCAGGTGGTGGGTCAGGGGGCGGGTCAGGTGGTGGTCAGGATCTGGGCAGGGGCGTGGTGATAGGGAGGCGTAGGGGCAGTAGGTGGTTTGGGCACTGGATAAAGCGGTGAGCGGCTATGATTGGCGGGTTCGGCGGCGTCGGGTGTCACAGAACGCTGGCGGCGCCACTGTGACGGCGTCATTGTGGTGGCATCACTGTGATGGCGTCACTGTGGCGGCGTCACTGTGGTGGCGTCACTGTGGCGGCGTCACTGTGGCGGGGTCACTATGGCGGCGCCACTGTGATGGTGGCGGCGTAATTGGGGTGAAATTTTGACGGTGACCACTTTCGGCGACACGAAAAAATAAACACAGTGACATAATTGTTTTCCTGTGACATCATGTTTTATAGTTCCAAATATATGACCTCTTTAATCGCTTTTTTGTCAATATTTAAAAGTACTCACATTTTTGGAAATTCAGTTCAATTTAGTAATATTTAGGGATTAACCCCTATATTTATACACGGTAATATTGATAATATGAAAATTATATAAAAATGTTCTTGGTTAAAAATAGAGTTAATTCCCTAAATAGGACTAAAACAATAAATAAATGTACAAATAGGACTCCCATGTTTCATAGGACCAAAAATGCATTTGTTTGACAAAATTACCCTTGCTTAAATTCTAAACATATTTGTTCATAAAAATAAAAAATAAAAACTTCCTTTTTAAATCCCTATATGCACGTCCAGTTCCAAAACTACTGCCGTTGCCTTGAGCCAAAACTGTGGCTGCCTCCCACCTACACCGCCGCTCTCCGCCGTTTCCGCCACCAAACCAGTGCCGTCGTAGCCGCAAATCATAGCACCACCACTACCAAGCCGGTGTCAGCGATATAATTACCAAATATGTCATGAAGTTAGCAAAAAGTTTAAAGTGGTATAAAAAGAAACACTTTGCTGCCATAAATTAAGCAAAACATGCCAAAATTTTGGCAAAAGATGCATACAATATAAAAACCAGAAAATCATATTTTAAAACGAAATTTAAAATTTAACGAAATATAAAAACAAAACACAAAGGGCGACTAACAAAATTCAGAAAGATTGACCGAACAAAAATGAGCATGGCAATGATAAATTTTTTCATTAGACTTGGAAGTTTATCCAAACAAAAAGAATTCTTTCTGTCATTGTGTAATCATCAAATCTGCCATAAAAGATGGCATATTTTTAAATCAATGCCACAAAAAAACAGTCAAAACATAATTGTAAGTATTGCACAAAAATGCCAAAAAGTTGGCAAACACGAAGCCACATATTCAAAATCGAGAACTCAGAGTTTTAATTGAAATTGGAAATTTGATGGAATCACAAAACATAACTACGAAAACAATGTCCAAAATCAGAAAAATTGATGCAAAAGCTCAAAAATTTAATGAAATCAGAAAAGTTTCTTCCAAAAAGAACAAAATCCAAGAACAAAATCCGAATTTCTAGATGAAAATCAGAGGAAAAAGAAGGAGGAGGAGATGGATGAGAAAAGTTTCCACCATGATGCTTGGGTGTTTGGACAAATCCTTGATGTTGGTCTAGGGAAAATTACGAACAGGACCGCACCCGATCATGTGGTTATAGGTGGAATTTTTTGATGTTTTTTTAACATGTTCTCCGTCAAGTTTATCTTATGTCCACTAAATTGCAGCTAAAAATTCAATCAGAAAGTTAGTTAAATAATTTTTAGAATATAACTGGTTTTTTAATATATATTCCGGACCAGTTTTGTTGATTAATTTATTTAACAGAATTTTCGATTTAATTTTTAGCTGAAATATGATGGATATAATCTACACGGGAGAACATGTTCAAAAAATTGATTAAATAATAAATATTTAATTAAACCCACCAATCCAAAAAATAAAAAAGAAATAAGTAAAAGACACGGTAGAGGCCTATCCTAAAAGAAATATGTAAAGTCACGTTTTACCATTTACTAACCAAGTGTTGCAAACCAATTACATTTTTAAAGACTCTTGGAATCCGAACAGACAAAGAGATGCCAGTAGTTTACACAACCTTGTGAAGTGGATCGACCATTAATTTAATGTCTAAACAATGTACTCGTATATTTCAATTGCATCGTTAATTAACCAATGCAAGATACCAAACCTCAAGGCAAAATCCATTTATTTTAATAATTGAATTAGATCTGCCAACTCAAAAAAAGCTAGATACAGTGTTCCCGACCAAACTCCCTCCCAGGCTCTTTTGTTATTATATATCTATAGATTTCTTAAAAATTCAGGAATATCGCAAATACCTCATTACAAATTATAAATCTCCATGAAAGACCTACGTGGAACCTTGCAATAATCACATAAGTACAAAATAAATATTAACAATTATTACTCCCTCCGTCCCATAAAATTATTCCCACTTTTCTTTTTGGGTCGTCCCAAAAAATTCTTCCCACTTATCATTTTTGTATAATTTGTGTCGTTCACATTCATTTCACCTTTTTCTTACACAACTACAACTACACATTTCCACTTTATTCCACTTTCTTAATCTCCATGCCAAGTAAAAGTGGGAATAATTTTATGGGACAGAGGGAGTATTAAACTAGTGAAGTGTGAGCAGACACACTTAGGAGTGGTCCGGTCGGTTCTGACCATTGCAGAACCCGGCTCGGATCGCCACTATGCGGTACCGAACCGGTTGACCGGTCCGAGGACCAGGCTTTGGGGCCTAAACCGGAGTTAGGGGCGGGCTACGGGTCCTATTAAATGTTGATCTGTCCGACCGGTCCGGGCCAACAATCAAGTTTTTTTTAAAAAAAAAACCTTTAAGAAAGGCTTTGTGGGGTGTCCACAGACTCCAAACGGCTCTATATAGCCGTTGGAGACTCGTGAGGCCTAGGGGCGGGATTGGGGGGTTTGAGGGTGGGGGTGGGGGTAAAAAAATTATAAATACTCCTAATTTCTAAAAAAAAATCTACATCTATTCTCCAAATCTTCCTACTCTCTAATACTCTTTAATCATCTCCAATTCTCCATCTTCTATTCTTCTCCAATTCTTTCATTCTCTCTACATCAATTAATATATATCATATTATTCATATCTATTTAAATTAGTTATACCAATATTTTAGGATTGTTCAATATTTGTTACATTTTGAGATGAAACGTGATAGACTGATTGACATTCTGTAAATATGGGTAACCTCCAACGCAAAGGTAAAGGACATATCGTGTTTCTTCTCAAATTTGAGATGATTTTGACACAAATTATAATCAGAGAGATGTGGTTTACGAGGAAACACCCAAAGAGGTACAGGGCCATCAGCAAACCCCCGACGAGAAAACGCCCGACGAGGACAGAAACGATAAGAAAGGTCAATCTCTCCTTATGAATAACAATTACACAGAATGGAACTATGGAAGGAAACGACAAGCAAAATGAGATGCACCTTGCTACCATTGTAACAAAAAAATTTGCTCGAGAATTTTACATGGATACGAAGGCGTGGATAGGCATTCGAAGGCAAACCACCCCAAGGAGTATGCAAAATTAAGAGCCAAGCGGACGCGAAATATTTTTTCCCGCCTTTTTAAAATAGGCTATTAACTATATTATCGATTGTACTTCATATTTCAATACATATGCATCGAATTTATTTTTACTTCTAGAATTCATTTTTAAACAATATTTATAAAAAAATATAAAGCCCGGCCCACCCCGCCCCGACCCCGGGCGGGTAGACTGGACTGGACCGGTCCCGGTGGAATCCCGGGCAGGTACCGGGCCTTGAGCCCAAATATTTAGTATTGGCCGGGCCGGGCCCGGGTCAGGCCCGGTCCAACCCTAGACACGCTCGTTAGAGACCATAGGTAGTAAGGTTTGAATCATTAAATGCAAATTGCTTGTTATGTGACACAAACTTTGAAACTTGATTTTCTAGAGAGTACAAAATATCCTCAGTTTTTTTGTTCAACATATTGCCATATATTCAAAGTTGCTTGCAGTAATATCCTGACTAGGTAATGTAGGGAAACTACAAGACCAACAGATAAAAACTTGCACAAAAATCAAATGTGGCTCTTCAAGATCAATCCTCAAGGCTCCAACACATCATAATAACGCATGTACGTCACTCCAGCCATTCAACATTTCAGCTATAAAGCACATTATGATTTACAAGAGCACCTTTCAAAATTGATTAGAGATTGATTACCCACAGATAATAGCCTACCATCTGACATAAAAATGTCTGCAAGTTTAGCTTATTCTGTATCACTGACGAAATTGTTAGTACTGAATGTGGAGGGTGGAAATCGGGTGCTTTGCATTATGAACTCTTTAATCTCAGTCAAAGCTATCAATAATACATAAATAAAGTAGTGTTCTTTTCTCTGGTAAAACATCAATGACTTAGTATGAGGTACAAAACAAATACACTGAAAGAAGCACAAAAAATTCACTTTTTGTAACCAGGACCTGAGAAATAGCGTCTCTAAAAGAAAAGAAAAGAAAAGAAATGAAAAGAAAAGAGAAAAACAGTTCCACCAACATCAATTTCATGTTCCAAAATAATCTGATGTGTTTGGTGATGACTGACCTTCCCTTTGAGGTCCTACAATATGGCCTGCTGCCAATGGACTGCTTTGCTGTTCCACAAAATTGGGAGGTGATGTCATTTGCCCACCCTGATGTTCCGTAAAATTTGGAGGTGAATTCATTTGTCCACCTCGTTGTTCCATAAAATTGGGCGGTGATGTCATTTGTAAACCTTGCTGTTCCACGAAACTGGGAGGTGAATCCATTTGTCTGCCACGGTGTTCCATAAAATTGGGAGGTGATGGCTGATAGGTTGTATGATTCTGCCAGAAATGCTGACTTGGCGGCAGTTGATGAGCTAGAGGCTGCTGTCTAGGCATCTGAGTTTGCCTTGGTCGCGGATTTGGAAAATATCCCGGGCTTTTGTTAAATAGTGACTCAACCTCATCTCGCCTGCCTTGTTTCCCGAATTCCTCCAACAGATACGCCCTGAAATCAGGGGTGACCCCAACTCCATAGTTCACCATCTGACTAACCAGATTAAAACCAGCATTGTAATTTCCACCATCACATAGCGCCCTAATCACAATATCATAGGTCATAACATCCACCCTTGGTTCTCTTTCACCCATCTTAGTCAGGATCGGTACACATTCCATAGCCTTACCTTTGTTAATCAAGAAACCAAACCACTTGTTAGCATGAACAGGAATGACTCTCAACCCTGCCTCCACCATTTTTGTGTATTTGTCTAACACACCCTCAATGTTCTCCAGCTTAAGATAAGCCTCTATCATTGTTCTGTAAGTAGTTACGTCAGGATTCAAAGATTTACCACACAACTCCATATAATACCTCTCTGCATCTTCCATCATTCCAAGCTCGCAAAGCCTAGTGATCATGTTGTTAAAACCAGCGACATCCATTGAAAAAGGTTTTGACTTTGCACTCTTTCCAGCCTTCTTGAAAGTCTCCATAGCCTCTGAAACCTTCCCTAATTTAAAACACTCATTCACCATGATATTGAAAGTGTCAGAATTAACTGCTTGGAATACAGGGGGTGTGTGGTCATCCAACATTGCATCAAACAAATCTAATGCCTCTTTTTTCTTCCCGTGCTTTAACAAAACCTCAAGTAACGCATTACAGGTCACGGGTACCATTCTGAACTTTCTGTCTAAAAGATCCTTGTAACAATCCATGGCCTCCCTATCCCTCCCTTGTTTGAAAAACCAATCCATGAAAGTTGAGTTCACGGTTCCATCATAAACCAAACACCTCTCTTTAAGCTCGTCAAACAGCTCATTTGCTTTCTCCAAATTCCCCAATTCCAGAAACCCTAAAATCAAATTATTGTAAACCAGAGAGTCTGCACCATGCCCCTTGTTGAGCATTTCCCGGAGAAAATCAACTGCTTCATCTATCCGACCTGAGTCTATTAGACCCTTAGTTAGATGGCGATAGGACACGTATGAAGGGCTAAAAGGGGCGTTTTCAATTATGTGGTGGTAAACTTTTATGGCTTCCTCGACTTCCCCGGATTCGCAATGGGAAACAATTAGGTTGTTGTAGGATACTACGTTGGGGATGATGTTAGACTGATTGAAGAAATACTGGAAGAGGGCCTTCGCATCGTTATACCTGCCGGCGCGGTACATAGCGGCGATGATGGCGTTGCAGGTAAAGACCGTGGGGCGGGTGTTTGAGAACACCGCGTGACGAGCAACAGCTGCGGCGGAGTCGAGATCCCCGGCTCGAATCAGAGACTGCACGCGATTGTGAAGGTTGAGTCTAGGCCCAACCAGTGCGGACGTAGAGTCAGGGAGGCGAGATCGGGGGTCGTCGGAGGGAGGCGGCCTCTGAACATTGTCCCGACGAAGTGCACCAAGCGGTGGCTCGATACGTAGACGGCGCTTCCTGCGACGGCGCTCAGCTGCGGCCTCCTCAGCAGAGGAGAAGGCAAATGATCTGTGAAGGAGGAGAAAGCTGGGATTTTGTGTGTGATTTGCTGAAATGAGCTGAGTTTGGTTGGCGGCGGCAACACTGCTAGTGGAGGTACGGCGGAGAGAACGGAGTATAGTTCGATACATTCTTCTATGTCAATCCCAGAACTTAGAGATGGTGGATCAGAAACCCTAATCGATAGAAAAAGAACTCCGAGGGGAAAATAAGGGTTTGTAATCTTAAACCCTTTCGTCCATCGAACATACGGAGTACGTTATCTAAGTTAAATGTTTGTCATATGAATGCGGTCTGATGAAGGATTGGCCAAATCTGGATTAAGTTTTTTTTTTTAAGTTAACACCACAGTGACTACAACAATTACATGATACTTCGTATTAGTGGAACATTTCTTTAATTTTAGCGAAAACGATTACATGTGTTTATGGAATTAGCACCATTTTTTTTACTCCATAGGACGTCTGGGAGGAAGGCTGAGCTTGGAGTACTCTAGGCTGAAACTAAACTTAATGAGTTTCGAACCTAAGACCTCCCGTAAGGGAGAGTGAGTCGACGACCAGCTAGCTGGATTGGACCGTTTCCTCAGAAATTAGCACCATGTTTTACCACAACCTGATGATCTTAAATTAGTGATATTTAAGTATAAATCTTGGGAGCCCCATAAGATTTAAAAAAACAACGATCGTCTCCCTAGAGCTTAGGGTTTGGGAAGTGCGCAGATTTGCGATTCTTTTTTCTTCAGCAAGAAGGGATTTGCTTCGGCAGTTCCTCTTCTGTTAGTTTGCTTTGCAGGTTCGCTCTTGATTGGCTTCGTGGTGTCAGGGGAGATTGACGCAAGGCACCGAGACGGAGTTTTGGACCGGGTGCTGGTTTGTTGTGTGCGGCGAAGATTCTAGTCAGCTTTTCAATTTGGACGCGATCGGCTGTTTTCGTCGGCGAAGCGGTAAGGCGGGTGAAGGCTTCTCAAGGTTTGGCAGCGAAGATGAAAACAATTAGTGGCGGTTTTGCTATGAGTGCGGGACGAGGAGAGGTGGACGGTTTTCACGTAGGCCAGATTTTGATCGACAATGAAGAATCAATTGGAGTGGTACCGATGGTAAGGCCTCATCCTGAACCACCGTCATGGGTTGAATGAAGTGCCAGGGTCCATAAAAGTTTTCCTTTTAGTTACGTAGTATTATTTTGTTGTCATTTGGATTCTTGTTACCATCTATGGTGTTTGGTTTGCCAGTTTGTTTGGGAATTTAGCCTATTTTTATGTCGTTACGAGTATATGGATCTATGGGGCCAAGGATGGAATTGTCAAGCCCACTACATGTTTAGTAATTTGTGATGCTCTTTCAGGGGTGATCGTCTCTAAGTCTGATCATAGGCTACATAGTTTTTGGAGTTTAGTTGGTGTCAGTTTTGATTTTCGTTTGATTGATGTAATGATCCTGAAAATCTTGTTTTCATTTCGTACTTTTCGCATTGCTTTCTAGTTTTAAGGTGATAGAACTAATATTACTTATAAATTTTTCAAACCTTATACTCTACTAGTATATTTTTTTTTGCTTGTGGAAAAATCTGTATTACTTTTGAATTTTGACTAATCAAAAAAATAATGTTTCAGCTAAATTTGTGGATTAGCCTCCATTGTATGATTTTATACGGAGTATTATTTTTTAGATTTTATATGCAAAGTTTCAGTTGATTAATATTTGATTTAAGTACTTGTTAAAAATATAAGAAGTATTATGAAGGAAAAATTCACATGAATAATCTGAACTATTAGTCATCTTCTAATATAAATCCAAAATATGCATAATTCTAAAATAATCTGAACTATAACGAGTCTCTTCTCAAAATGAACCGGTGACCTGCATTAACAAATTCAGTAAGTGACTCGAATACGTGGCCTATTTTTATTGGTTTTCATTTTTCCCTTTTCTATTTTATTTTATTTTCCCTTCGTTTCATTCTTTTCTTCATATCTTCCTCTTCGTATGACTGTTCCAGGGAATCAGGCACGTACGAACATCAACCCGTCTCTGTTCTAGCATCGCAGCTCTTAACCCAAGTCGGATAATCAACCGTCGGCCGTTAATCTAAATGAATGTCTTCAACCTAGAAACGTATACTTTCTCTTGAATGCCTTTTCAAGAGAAGGAGCATAAAAGAAAATTATTATAGAGCACGTCAACATGCTCACTATGGAGCAATGGAGCACGTTGATGTGATCAATGATCATGAATTCATGATACCAACATACTCCATAGTCCATAGTGATCATGTTGGTGTGTTCCATGTAATTATTCAGATATAGAGATGAGTAGGAATGAATTGGTGTTTTCAAGATTACAAAATAGTTGCCACTTCTCCCCCCCTTCAACAAAGGATCACAATTTTACATTCTCTGACGGATCACGTTCTAAAAAAAGGATGACATCTCATCCCTTGTAGCACCTCTTCCTACCATGTGAGCTACGCTCCCGGTGACAAGCACGCGTTCTCCTAGTGCTAGACTGTTTCATTGGGTCAATCATCCGGGCCAATGGTGTCTGGTCTCTACAATCCTACTCGTGTAGTATTGTGTCTAGGATGGCATCATATGGAATTAAGTTATGATGCCTTGGTGGCATTAATTAATATATAAAATGTGAATACATACACATCGATTTGATATATACAACCATAAAATAATTATAAATGAATATACCTTGTTCAAAAAAGGAACAGGAGGCATCTAAATAAACTATAACCAAATTCCAAGAAAACCTGCGGTATTTGTAACAAGCCAAAAACTATATAAAAACAGAAGCAAAGAAAAGTTTTCTAAAAAAGATTTTCCTTTCTCAGCTAATTTCAAGAGCTTCCCTGTGCCATAACGGAGCAGCTCCTCCTGTACAGTAATGTTGTTCTTGTTGTGCTTTGTTTACTTAAATGGATCAACCCAACATTTATCCTGTTGGGCAGCCCTCTTCCACCGATTATCGAAAGCCTTCATTTCATCATAGGATCGCTTCCTTACCTGCAGAAAAATATGAATCATAAAGTTTAATTCGAAAGAATGTTGGGGTGCAGCAAGAGAATGATCCATGACACATACCTCAGGTCTGTTATTGTTATTATCTGTTTTACGGACTGATGGCTGAGAACCCTGTAATGTCAAGCAGAATTTTCAATCAGATACAATAAGAAATCACATGGATTGCTGAAGGAAATTTGAATGTAGGGGTCCGTTTGGTAATGACTATGTCGCTGAAATATCTGCTACCTATTTCAGTCAAAAGTAAACCAGCTACCAAACGGAGCCCTAGTCTAGTTCATAGACACTCATAGATGTATCATTGCTTCTGAATCAGTGAAGTTCTTTCTTGGCCGGGAAAGCTCGGGAGAACTCAGCTGTATAAATTTCTCTACTAGTCAAACTAATTTATTTTCCTAAGAAAATATCCAGTTTCTGGTCTTAGGTGTAGTTCGGTAAGACGCAATAAAAATTTGATTAAAATATTACAACTTATTGTGGTCAAGTGGGTCAACCAAAATATGCCTAAGAATGGAAAAGGAGGAAACCAAGTAGAAGCAAGCAGCAAAATATAAACTTGCCTTAAGTCTATTAGAATCACCACCAAGTGTAGGAAGACCCAAATGGTATATATACTCTACATCAACAATTCCAACTTTTTTTGTCCTATCACCCTGTTGACAACAAAATGGACTATAAAGTAAATCATCACATCAAGGAAACAAGAATAAAATAAATGATATAGTGTGATAGAGACCTAAATAGTACTACTAATAAGAATAGTGTTAGTCTTTTAATATTGTAATATAAAAGGGGTTTAGGCCCTGAATTAGATAGCATTGGGCTAGCCCAAATGGAAAAGAATAAATAGGAGTTGGAGGAGTAGAATAGAGGCAGTTCTAAGTTCTAAGTGTCTAAGCTTGTATCGTTTCATTCCTGTTCTTCATTCACGTTCATAATAAACTACAATTTTCCTCTTCCGATTTTGGTGTCTAACATAATGTTATGAAAAAATCACCTGTGAACAATAGCCAAGCTTTTTGTCCAAACCCCACGCGTGAATAAAATCATTCTGTTTTATGAAAAATAAAAATAATATAAGAATCATATTACATGATTACATCAATTCTGAGATAAATCCGTATACCTTGAATTCAGAGAACCTATAATAAGGAAGTTGTTATACCTGGATCATGTACCATGCGCAACGCCAAGCTGCTTTCGAAAATACAGGAGCCATCATTTCTACCCATCTACATTCGACATAATCACTCAACAACTCGAATGTAATTTTTTTGATGCCGTAATATTATTAAGAATTGGGGTTATCCTAGAAGGTTTTAGGGCCCGCATGATCGTGACTAGTTGATCCAAACTAATTTCAGGAAATAAGAGTTGAATAGTTTGTTTGAACTTAATATATTCTACACAATATTCAGAATTCGAATTTTATTCTAAAAAAGGTTAATTATAATTGGAGTAGTTAATGTCTTGATGTACATTGCTTAACATTTTCATATTTTGTTGTGAGGGGTGACTTAACAATCAAAGGAAAGTAGGTAAGTCATTTCAAAAAGTATAATTTTAAGCGGAAAAGCACACAATTCCTTACCCTACACAAGGAGGAGCACTACTGTTTCTTTTGCATCCATTGGCATTGGATGTAACGAACCTCCTGGTCAGAGGAACAGCTTGTAAAAGCTAAGTATTTTTATACCGCAAAGCAAAAAATGAATGAGTAAATTAAAATAAAAACCGAACCTGTGAACTTTCGAATTCCTTTTGCGCACTGTAATACGATGATGCACCTCCGATTTATAAAGATCGAGTCCAGGCTGAGATATTTCAAGACCCTCTTCTTTCACAATCGATACATACCTGCAAAAAAAAATAATGATGTTCACAATTGGCCATTATTGTTTTATATAACCAGGTACATTCAAAATATGTATATAACCAGGTAACCAATTAATAAGAAATAAGTACCTTTTAGGGTGAAAATTTTCTACTCCAAGGTCTTCATCCCATAGGAAGATATACTCATATTCAGCAACTATATCTGGGTGCAAAAAACGCTTTGCAAACCACCTGCAAATTGACGCTTTGGATGAGTAAACAACAAACATAGATGAATATGAGAGTAAATGTGATTTGACCCATTGTTCATTATGGCCACTAGAGTGATGGGTTATGATGTATTGAAGCTCATTAGAGGTGCTCAGGGGGGTGGGGACTGGGACGGGGGATAATGAGTTGTATTCAAGGATGGAAATATATGTCAGTAGTATAATTTTGAAACTTCCGTATTTAGAGGTCACCTATATCGATATGAGAGGCATAGGAATACCTCTATGATATCAAAGACAGGTTGGAAAATCTCAAGGAATATTTAAAAATACAAAATAAAATCGATAACTATCAAAACACGTATTTGAAATATTAGTAATCTCATTATATTTTCTCAAAAAACTTGCAAAATGTAGTTTTCTTCCAAAAAACAATATCTATATCAAAACATCCAATGAAACTTCCATAGCTTCAGAGTATTGATATATCCATAAGTACTGATATTTTTATCCTTGATTGAAATGAAGTAAAACATACCATTTTGTTTGATTCACGGCAGATACATGTATAACTTTCTTACTCCATTCAAGATCATTCCATTCATCGACAACACCATCATAATGAAATAGCATCACACCAAACTCATCCTCTAGAAACTGCAGAAGTACATAACGAACAAGTAAGAAGACGACAGCATATAAAAATAAAAACTAGGATGGAAAGAGAGAGGAGAGTCACCATCTTAACGATTTGGTTCACTATCTCTTTTTGCTTTATCCCAACAGGAATGGCCAGCAAATTCACCTGATGCTTTGAGTTCTCCTGCGCCAAATATATCGAACATACTTTCAAGATCACAAACAAAAGTTTCACTACCAGAGAGAGTCATTAATAGACATAGGTAAGAGGATTTTAACCTTTTCGGTGAGTGGGCCCCACAAAGGGTGCATTTCCAAATTTGATGTTGCCGAAACAATCCCCTCCGGAAGTGCCTCACTACCAACAGGCCTGCATTTTTCCTAATAGATTGAAACTGATAAGTTTTATGAACCAAAAAGAAATGAGAGAAATATTCAACAATATAAAGGGCAATGAGAAGTAAAAAATATGTTACCATGCATTTACCAGTCTCGAAATTATTTTTGGTGTCATTTATTTTTACATCCATGGCTGATGAAACCTAGATATCAATTTCATTTATTAAATGAGTATATTGTTAATGCAAGGAAATAGTCAAGTGTAATTAATAAATCATTCATATACTAAAAAGTAAACCAACAACCAAACCTCATTTCTACATGATTTAGCACTTTGTTTTGAGTGACTTGTTCCAGACCGGAAAGGTATCTGCACACAGTTAGTTTTGTCAAATATAGTTACTTTTTGATAACCAAACAAGGCATGGCTGCCCTTTTTTCTTTCTTTTTTGATGACAAAAAAATCAAATAAATTGAGAGAAATTATCTGCCTTATATTGTCTTCCAAAATATACATTTGCTGTGAAATACACACTGCAAATTAGCGCAATGGTGACAAAAAGACTGCAGAGGCATGATCTAGTTTTAGGATCTGACAGTGCAGAACAAACCTGGAAAATCAATACAAATGATATTATCAGATATTACATAACAAATTCTATGACATATTCAAATCCCATTTAACAATCCTTAAAATACAAACATGTATTTAATGGCATTGCATACATGTATTTCCGTCATTTGCCCTCCCCCAAAAAACAATTGTAGAGATAAACTCCGTACATTTTATGTAGCTAATTGAGGAAGTATAATCTTCGTATTGTTTACACATGGTACAAACAAATCTTGCCAAGTCCAGTAATTTAAGGATACTCATTCTATGTACTAAAACCCAAGCTAGTGAACCAACACACTAGAAAGAAAGAAAAACTAAATTGAGAAAGGGACATAACAAATTCTCTCTTTTTTTCATTTTTTTGCATTGAGACTATGTCTTGAACTATTAGCGATCTTACAATGAGACGCCTGAACCGGAAGACCTTGGCAATACACCCTCGACCCATTGAAATAAAGCAATCAAGCCCTTTTTACCTACCAGTACCGGTAACTTCTCACGAGAAAGTTACCGTCTTACCAGCACCGGCCGGTAAAAAAAGGATCCAATTGCTTTATTTCAATGGGTCGAGGGCATATTTGCAAGGTTTTTCAGTTCATTGCAGAATAGCTAAACTAATAGTTCTAGGGCTTATTTGACCCAATCCTCCCCAAATTTATATGCTTGGTTTAACCTTGGAAAATACGGACATATCAAATCTATAAAGAGCTTCTAAAAATTTCATTTACATTAGATTTCTCAGATTTATGAATCACAATGATAGAAAAACCAGAAAAAATAAGTTTGATCAATTATCCAAAATATTTATTAAATTTGAACCAACTATTCTCCTTCTCAATTTTTCTTTTCGTCCTATTTCTTCATGACTTCATTCCAAACGGACCTTGAATGCTTAGTAGAAGGTAGAGACGGTCACAAATTAATAAATTACGTTATGTAAAAAGCAATTGGTGAAAGAACTTATTAAAAAACTCAAGAATAAGACAGCCAGCTAGACTAACTAATACTTCCTCTATTCTTTTTTAATTGTAAGAGTCCACTTTTCACGTTTGCCAACGCACAAGTTTGACCGTTAATATCTTTCATTACTTATTAGTAAAAAAATTAAAAAATTCAGAGTTTGAAAATTTAAAATGAGAAGAATTTAACAATATTTTTTAAAAATTTAATTTATAATACATTAATAAATAAAATATAATCAAAGTAGAATATCTGAACAGTGCAAAAAGTCCAATGTTGCAATTACAATGTTGCAATTAAAAGAGAACGGAGTATACAAAAAGGGGGCAACCACCATCCAAAAGTAAAGTTCATATCTTTTTCCGTTTTTCACTATTTCACCAACCCATAAAGTCAAAATTTATGATTTAAGGATGATAAAGTAATTAGCAACAGAAATTGGAACTGAAATTAATTAATAAACATCATTCAGCAGCAAAAGATGACAAAAAAAGTTTACTTACAGAGCTGAATGGCTTCATGGTGATCAGAGGAATAAAGGCGGCGCTAAGAAGCAGAGAAAAAAGGCAGCTTTTTTCAAGAAACCGAAGAAGGAATGGAATTCAAAAAAGTGGGCGTGGTCGTCGTGTAAAGGCAAAGGAAAGGCATAACGAGAAAGCGTTTGGAAAGAAGGCAATAAAAGGTATATTGAATCAATCCGTATCAAGCACAGAATCAGCCGCTTTAAATGATCCTTCTACCTCCGTATACGACGTCGCTTTGTCCGATCAATAACCTCGGACGCCCAAAGAGCTTCTTTTTCAAAAGTTCCGCCAAGACTTTCTTTCTTGGTTTCTCCAAAAAAAAGAAAAGAAGGAAATAGAAAGCAAGTCCGATTAGTATTGCGGCAGAAGCAGCCCCGTTTGAGGCGAGTTGGACTAGAGAAAGAGATGGTCGCGTGGAAGACGGAGGCCACACACGGAACGGCGTGAGAAGAAGGTAAAGCATGAACACTCACTCGCCTTCTGATTCGACCGCGTGGCATCATGTTTAGCCTCCAACGGTTATGGTTTTGGGAGTTGAGTTGCACTTGTCTTATTAATATTGTATTAAAAAAAAGGCTAAATTCATCCCAATAATAACATGTACCCTCACAAATTATACCTCGCAAATAAGATGGTGCGCCCGGTTGCAAAATGACGCAGCTTCCCTTTTTTTTTGCTTTTGTTGTTTAAAAATGATGATAACTTTCTTACTTTTTATCCGATTTTTATAAAATTTATATCAACATTTTTTATTTTTCATGATCTTTCAAATGAGATCAATATTGCTTATGTAATGTTAAAAAATTATTGAACTATTATATTAATGAGTATTGGATTATAAGGAAAATCGAATTTGTTTGGGAGATGATAGGTTTGTGAAATAGAAGATTGAATCTGTTTGGGAGTGGATCAGTGACCTCAGTTACATTTGATAATACATTGAGTTACATCTTTTTATGAACGAGTTACATCTTTTTATAAGCAAGTTACATCTTTTTATAAGCAAGTTACATCTTTTTATAAGCAAGTTACATCTCTTTAAAAGCGAGTTACATATATATAAACACGAGTTGCATTTGACATGCCTGAACGCGACTTACATATATTTACACGTAAAGTTACATATTTTTACACGTAAAGTTACATATTTATACACGCGTGTTACATATTTATACACACGAGTTGCATTTGACATGTCTGAACACGAGTTACATATTTTTTTTACGTAAAGTTACATATTGTTACACGTAGAGATACATATTTATACATACGAGTTGCATTTGGCCTGACTGAACGTGAGTTACATATTTTAACACGTAAAGTTACATATTTTACACGCAAATGTTAATATGTTAAAATTACATAGGCAATATTATTGGTCTCATTTGAAAGATCATGAAAAATAAAAAATGTTGATATAAATTTTATAAAAATCGGATCAAAAATAAAAAAGTTATTACCATTTTTTAAAAACAAAAAGAAAAAATATATAAATCCGTATACCGGTATACGGTGCTCACCGTATACCGGTCGTACGGTATAGGCATTGATGTACCCTTGGTCACCCCATTTTTCAGCTTATCATATTTATTAATTAACTTTTTCATTTAATAAATAACTTTTGATTTCACACAGTGAATTCTATTATAATAAGAAAAGGTAAGATTCGAGTGATTTTTTGGTTTTATTTGCTGAAGTTACTGTAAATGATCATTTTAGATATTTTCATATATTTTTTCTTTATTTTATTAATAAAATAGTAAAATATATTTGAAGTACTGTTGTTTTCATAAATCAACAGAATCAATCAATTCAGTCACTTCAGCCAGAATTTTTTATAAATTTCAGCAGAATCAACTAATGCAGCCCGATTTGGGTATTGTTGGTAGAAAATATCACAGGTAGAGCAAGTGACAGCAATTCAGTATAGTAAAAATATCGTAACAAAATACAAGTGGTTGGTGGCCTATTTATAGGCGTATACAATATGCCCACTAATTAAGTGTTACATGGACTTGGCCCGATTTATCAACTAATACTGACGTTAATGGGTCAGCCAACCCAATAAGTAATTAAATAATCCTAGACCAATATGCGCTAATCGGGCTGTGATATGAGTTTGGTCGGGTCAAAGCTCGGGTGTAACGGGCCGATAGTCTTGGACTTGGCCCATTATCCTAACACGAGTCCCCCACTCCCTTAGTCGAGTAGTAGACTCGACTAAAAGGGAGTAGTTAAGCTATTTTGGAACTGGTCCGGTTCTTGGTCCGGCCGACCGGTCATTAACGAGCCTTGAATTAGATCCAATTACTTGTGAAAGGATGGAGTCTTCCTTGTTCTGACCTGGAGACCTCTTCCTCTGTTTATGATGAGGGGGTGCCTCGTTAAAACCTTACTAGAAAAAAACCCAATGGGAAAAAATCTCAGTGAAGGAAAAAGAGTACAGTGGAACCTTAAAATAAAGCAAAGGAATGCTAGTCTCCTCAGTTCTTGATTGAGTGTATGCTTTACTAGTAAGTTGAGATATGTTCCGGGAAGGCCAGTCCCACGGCTACTTGCCAGTGGCGGCGGTCGAGCCCAGGTATGATCGGGAGAGACCAGTTGCCCAGCTGTCTGTTGATGATGCAGAACCGAGGTGTGCTCGGGAGAGGCCGGCGGCTCAGCTGTCTGTTGATGATGCCGAGCTGAGGTGTGCTCGGGAGGGGCCATCAGCTTAGTTGTCCGCTGATGATGATCAGGCGAGGTAAGCTCTGAAAAGACCAGTTGCAAGGTGTCCACATTATTCCCCACCGCTTGCGAAAGGATTTGGTTTCCCTCGTCTGGGTAGCAGTTCAGTTCTTGTTTGTTCGACCAGCAGTCCGGGGTCTTGTTTGCCCGATTAGCAGCCCAGGGTCTTCTTCCAAATTCAGCAAAAAGGTGAGCCCTCCGGCCACTGCGTGCAACTGCAACGGTCGCCACCTGCTAAGGGAATGGCAAAGACCATTCTTCACTTGTGAACAATGCTCATATGACGTTCTCGGGAGGATGCGGTGAGTAGTTCAACATGATAAGTAGTCCCTGTTGATTGCTATTATTACTTGTTACGGACATGGCAGGTAGGAGATGTGCTCTCGCTGCTTTAGCTGCAGAGCAAAATGCTAAGTCTCGGCCTTCAACGTCTGATGAAGGTCTGCCCATGCAAGGAAGAAGCTCGAAGCTTCTCCGTCTGGTGCTAGGGAAAAGTGAGTAATTTCACTCCTTTGCGAAGAGTGACTTTCCAAGAAGAGCGAATGTATAAACTGCTCCTTAGGCCGGGTAAGGGGAGATAACCCAACCGGCGGAATCCTCGCTCACTCTGTTCGTTCCCTCGTAGGTATGGCACGTCATAAAACGCGCATGCTTCCCTGCCTTGACCTTTGTTTCCTCGTAGGCATGGATGGTCAGAGAAGCGCACTTGCTGCCCCTGATGCGACGAAGGATGCTAAGTCTCGACCTTTGACATCTGACCAAGTCCATCTAATGTCGGGGAGGAAGCACGCAACTTCTATGCCTGATGCCGGGGAGAAGCACACACCTTCCCTGCCTTATGTTGGGGAGAGGCACGCACCTTCCCTACCTAATGTCGAGGGATGCTAAGACTTTTCTCCGCCTGATGTCGGGAGATGCTCAACTTCTCTGACTGATGCTGGGGAGAAGCACGCACCTTCCCTGCCTAATGCCTGGAAGATGCCAAGAGTTTCTCCGCCTGATGTTGGAGAGATGCTCAACTTCTCTGCCTGATGTCGGGGAGAAGCATGCACCTTCCCTGCCTAATGTCGAGGAGGTGCTAAAGCTTCTCTGGCTAATGTCGGGGAGAAGCACACACCTTCCCTGCTCCGCGAAGAACAATTTTTCCGAGAAGAGTAATGGCATGAAGCTGACCATCAACAGAGAGACAGGACCAGACCAACAGAAGTCTGGCTCTCCCCGCATCCCAGTCAACGCATGTAAGATATTTTCAAAAGTCTGCCATATGCTGACGGAATGGTTGAGATTGGGCTTGCGATGAAGAAATAGTCGTCATTTGTGAGGACGGTAGGCGAACAATGTCATTTGACCTTCAAGCTTCCCCAGGATGGATGTAAGATTCCAGAATGAGAATGATTCTTGGATGACTCCCTAATGCAAGCCAAGGGAGCGATGCTAGGACGATGCCTTGATGCAGGGCAAGAGAGCGGTGTTTAGACAAATCCTTGATGCAGGGAATGAGGGTGATGCTTGGGTGACTCATTCTATGTCGTTTGTTGAATCAGTGGGAGAGTTCTTTTGCAAGTCCGCTCATTCATGCCGGTGATCGGAGGGCTGCATATACTTTTTCATGTGACGAGGAGCCCAAAGTGGACCGACCTCCTACGATATGAGGGCGGTCAGAGTACTAAGCCACCTCAATGGTCTTCGACCATCCTGGTCGGTGATTTAAGCGAGGCCTTCACTTTGTTTTGTCTTGATGAATGATTGTTGACGAGAACGGCATGTGATAACATCTGGGCTTCCAAGCCGTGTATCAGTTCGCGCATCTCCAACATTTCAAGAGCATTGCTCGATCGCATGTGGTTTGGAAGAATAGACGATCTCATTCCTTTACACAAACTTGGCTAGATATTAAGACGAAGAGTTTGACGGAGAAGATGCACATGTGACGGGATTTCCACCTTGTGGTTGACATGTGTGACCGGCCACGATTTATCCGTAGACGTCAGAGACCCAATGTCGGAGCTAGGGTTGGCTCTTGCCAATTGATGAGCTCATATGTAAGTCATTCACTGTCATGCGCGCGCAACCTCATCTAGGAGATAGCCCCGGACGTACTTGACCTGGAGATAGCCCCGCACGAACTTGGTCTAGAGATAGCCTTGCACGAACTTGACTTGGAGGTAGCCTTGCACGAACTTGGCTTGGAGATAGCCCCACATGAACTTGACCTGGAGATAGCCCTGCACGAACTTGGCCTGGAGATAGCCCTGCACGAACTTGGCTTGGAGGGTAGCCTTGCATGAACTTGGACCGGAGATGAGTGTGTGGCTTAGAATGGATGGCGTGCTGATGATCACTGGCCCGTGTGTTTAGTTTGCATTTTGAAGCTTGTTAGAGAACAGTTTGAACCAACACCGGGTAGTCAAGCTCAGTTGTGGGTGGACAAGGTAGAGTCTGCTTTGAAGGTTACATAGCTTGCCATGGAACAGATGATCTATGCATGCCCGAGCTTGGCTGCGACCAAGGATATGAAAGCCCTGTCTGAGCTTAAATTAAAGTAAGACCATCCTGAGGCATCGTCCTGTGGTGCACGGCGTGAGGTAGTTGCGGTGTTCAAGGACTCTATAGAGTTTTTAGAGCTTGTCACTCCTAAGATTGAGACCCAACTGGAGCATATCTGATCTTAGCTACGGACCTAGG